TTGTTTTTCGTTTTAAAAATTTGATTTAAAACCATAGAATATTATTTATTACAATCAAACAACAGTGCTCCATTGTCCAATGTATACATACATACTTGTACATACATACGAATGTACATACATGCTATATATGTACATACACAGGCATTCATACATATGTATGTACATATGCATGCAGGCTTCTCTTTACTTTTTTAACCGTACGTAGAGAACCGCACACATAGACACGAACTGCTGCTTGTTCTGTGTGTGAGTGTGTGTAAATGATGTCCCCAACTATTTGATATTTGCGTTCTTTGTAATTTGTTGTTGCTGCATAAAGTTACTAATGAAAACCCCAATGTCAAATTTACTAAACAAAGAAAAAATTACTTTTAAAAATGTTATATAATTTTCAATTAATTAACATTTCTTGCTCTGTCAGTGCACGACGAATGTACATACATACATATGTAGATGCATATGTACATACATAGATGTGCACATACAAGTATGTATGAACATTCACACATTAGTGTCTCACATTTTGCTTTGGCTATTTCAATCGTTTGCATGCAACTACACGAACAGCTGTTTGTATGTGTGTGTGTGTGTGTGTGTGTTTGTATACTTAGTTGTCCCCAACTGTTTGATATTTTGTATTGTTTGTTCTGCCTGCATTTGTAGAATGCATATTTTGAAAATCCTTGGACGCAAAGTTATAGATTTAGTTACGTAGATTACAGTCCCCAAATTTGAAATCGATCGAAAAAAATTGATAGCACAAACTTTTCATTTGAAAAGGTGAATAAATATTAAATCACCAATAATTCAAGCTCCACCACAAATTTCGAAAATTCGAGTATGCAGTTTTGTTCGTATTCTTTAATTGATTTTAGAAACAAAGCTTTAAGTCGATCGGTTGAAAAATGCAGATATTTCAAGCAAACTTTGGACCTCGACTTCCCCTCTTTGGAGCTCGAATTTTCCAAAAACCCTTCTTAGTGAGCACCTACATTATGACAGGATACTTGAGCCTAAATTTCAGTTTCCTTACTTTTACCGTTTGGGCTGTGGGGTGTTGATTGCGTTTCAATTTTTCCATAGAAAACCCCTCTTTTTCATGCCCCAAGAAAAATGGTGAAAAACCAAGTATACAGTTTTTCTTGTAATCTTTTTGAGAGTATACAAACTAGGTTTGAAGTTAATTGGATGAAAATTGTAGATTTTCCATACGAACGTTGGAGCCCGTTTCCCCCCTTTGGCGTTCGAATTTTCCGAAACCCCTTCTTAGTGCTCACTTTCACTATAAGAGGGATCTTGTGTCCAAATTTCAGCTTCCTAGCTCTTACCGTTTGGGCTGTGCGTTGATTGCCAATCAGTCAGTCAGTCAGGACAAACTGTTTTATATATATAGAGATTAACACATTCCATATAGTGCACCTAGTACTCAAAAGTGATTTAAACGAAAAAATTAAATAACTAACTAAATAAAAATTTGAATGGAGACGAATTCTAATATCATTTTTTTATTACTTATGTATAAAAGAACACGTGTGTATTTTTATATCCACAAAAAGTGTATGAACAAGTAAAAAAGCTAAAGTCGGGTGTCCCGACTTTGAAATACTCTGTACATATGCTTACAATAATTATAGAAAATAAAAAAATTAAGAAAATAAAAAAAAAATTTGATCGATTTTACCTCTCTCGGTATTCGAACTCACGTAAAGGGTTTATAATTGCACATTTACATAGCAATTGCGTCTGTGTGAGTGTATGTATGCCTATGCGCATCTATTCGTGTCTGTGTAAGCATTTTCGCAGTCAACCAAAGCACCAGCATCAACAGCCGCGAGCAGCGCTGCAGCAGCAAATATATTTATGGCTATAACTTCTTGTTAAATCGGTCTATCATAGTGAAACTTGGCATACGGACACATAATAACTAACTGGGGATATTTGCAAAATTTTAGTTTGAAATTCCAAGAATTACGGGAGTTACGATTTGTGGTGGAGAGGGGGGAGGGAGGGAAATTCCAAAATACACATTTTCTGCATATTCACGTAAGGCATCTGAGACTAAAATTTGGTGTTCCTAGGTCTTATAGTCTCCGAGATATAGGCGATTATACAAATGGAAAATCGGCAAAACCCCCATAGGGGGGGAAGTGGGGGAAAATCAAAAAAATAAAACAAACTCGTATAGAATACACACATAAGGCATCTTTGTGCAAAATTTATTGTCTCTATCTCTTATAGTCTCTGAGATCCAGGTGTTCATACGGACGGACAGACGGACAGACAGGGCTAGATCGACTCGTCTCGTCATGCTGATCAAGAATATATATACTTTGTGGGGTCTGCCACGCCTCCTTCTGCCTGTTACATTTTTCAGCTCCCGCAAACCTAATATACTTCTGTACATTTCATGTACAGAGTATAATTAAGAATAATTTCAAAGTTGTTTCATGTCTTAATAATTATATATAAACATTTTATATTTTATAAAAATGTGTTTCTCCCAGGGAGTCTGATCTCATATCTTACTTTATAATTTATGACAGTTAAGTTTTGTTAAACGAATTAAAAAATAATTACAATTCCAAAAAATGTATTGTATAATTTACATATTTTTTAATTTATCGCAGTTAAATTGTGATAAACAAATTAAAAAATAATTACAATTCAAAAATGTGGTCACACCTAATCCCATATTTTAAAGCTCTTTTTAATAACACGTTTTATTTGTGTATTCAGAGATTGTTTTTCCAGTATATCATATCATATATGTATGTACGTTCAATATAATGTTGAGGAATCATCATTAAAATGTGTGTATTTGTGAAAAATATACTTTTTAGCAATTTATTTTTATAGCTCATAAGCTAATCTTTTTTAAGAGCTCATAAAACATACTAAGTATTCTATAGACTGTTTCTCATATCTGGGACTCTTGTCCCCAGCAACATGCACGCTTGTGGCACACACAACACCAAATGAGGAGGACAACTTCAAACGCAAACGTGGGCCGTCAGCGAATGTTTCAATTCCATGTTGACAATGACAATGATAGCGGCTAGCAGCGCCACGCAATGGCAGTGAAACATGCGATGCGTCAAGAGAACGCATCGAGAACTGAACTTGTACCACTAACCCAGTTAGTGTTGCGACAGGAATAAAAGAAGCAGGAGCAACAGTGGCAGCAGCAGGACCAGCAATACCCCATCTGCAAAACTGAATGCAACAGTGAGAAATGTATGCGATGGCCGTGCCACAATCGGGTGCGGAATTGGGAACGAGGCATGGTATGGGACTTGGGGCACGGCTGCATGCCACATAAGCCGACAGACTTGCACAATTCGCGATTGATTGCGACAAACGAAGTAAGCTTCCCAGAAGCTTCGGTTGGGAGCCGAATGTCGGTGGCAACAGAAACGTTTCGGCAATGGCACATATGGTTAGTGGTTCGAGCGATGTTTGAGCGCTTTTATACGTAATGTGTGGAGAATGTTGCGGCAGCATTGTTGCCGGGCCAAGAAATTGTTGTCAAGGCCGTGGGCAACATGTCAAGGTAAATATAGAATTTGTATAGCGACAACAATTTTTGGTGATGCTATTTTTAAAACATGCACGACGTTCCATTGTGTACGAGTACACTTTTAATAAATAAGTAAGAATATGTGTATTACCTTTCACTTATCGGGCACTGATAAGCTACATGCTTCCAAAGCTTATTCATCTCGGTGGGGTGCTCTGAGAACACGAAAACAATAAACGAATTGAGATAATGGCTAAAGAGGCTTTGTTTATAAAAATATTTTTAATACGTGGCTGTTCTCAATTGCGAAGTGTAAACAATTCAAAATTTTTATACACACTTGTGAACTGAGAAAAATAACATACCTATTTATATATCTTACATACATATGTACGCCGATAATACCAAAAATGATATAGATTTTAATTATATCTAGAATTTTATTATATTTATTACATCTTTTTATTATAAAGTATAAATTATTTTGTAGTGGGTATGAGTTAGAATAAGGTTTGGTATCCCTAGCTATTACGGCTTTATGGCTTAAAGTCTGTCGGCATTCATAATTTAATTTATTTTTCTGCTTGTTCATTTAATTTTTAATTATTTTCCAGTTTGGAAATAGTGCTTTTTAGCTCCTTATTTTAAAATTTTGTTTCGGTTTTGATTGATTTGTGGCTTATAACTATATATTATATTTATATATCTATATATCATATATTTGATATGTTTGGGCTTAAATTGTTGCTTTTGTTTATTCAATTAACAGTTTAATATATTTTGTACACTTTTTAATATATATATATTTGATACACTTAATCACTATCTTGCCACAACAGATTGATATTGATACTGACTCATTGAAATGTGACGCAATACCAAAAAAACAATACTGATTGAGTTGTTTTTTGTTTTTGAGACAGCTACTCGTATTAGCTCTCAAGAGACGAAAATCTGTTGCAACAAAATAGAAGTATGTTATTATTTCTTTAACAAGTTCCCTTAATTATCCAAATTCTAAACTCAGCTATTATACTAATTCGATATTTTATAGCCCTTTAGAGCTTTTCAGCCCATTCCAATTTTTTTCTTTTCGAATCAACTTTGCTGGAGTGACCCCAAATAAAAAGGGAATTGAAATAAATATAAATATAATATAAATGTGAGTATGATATTATATCGTTAACAAGTTGCCTTAATTATCATAATTTAAACTCAGCCATTAAACTAATTATGTATTTAATAGCCTTTTAGAGCGTTTTAGCGTATGCCCTATTTGTTTTTCTTTTCGAATCAACATTGCGGGAATGACCTCACTTAAGGCAAATAAAAAGTGAATTGAAATAAAAACAAAATAGCGTGTTTGCCAGGCACTTGTCGCGTGCTTTCTTTGTTGGTCGGTCATGGCGTCTCAAATAAAGCTGAAATTATCAGTGGGGGTCTCATTCGTATAAAGGCGCGCGCGCTATTCAGTCCGAAGCTGTACGAGTTCGAGGCACAACAAGAAAACACAGATTTCAAAAATGTTCAAGTTCAAGTCCGTGGGCGAAGTATTCAATAATTTTATGTGCCTGTGCGTCACAATTATTTGGGTGCAATGCAACTTTATAAATGCCATGCTCGACTTTCTGCTGCTCTGCGTGCCTTTGTCGCTGGTGCGTCCTCGATTGCCCGACAGTGAGGAACGGCCTCTGGTAGCGGAGTGCACACTGGGTGCAATAAGTGCGTGGCTCTTTGCGTTCTGAGCAATTAATGTGAATGACGCACTTACATCGTCAGATGTCGAGCAATTCTATACGAGTACAATCGGAAAGCCAGGGGGTAGCAAGAAATTCACGTTCGCTTCGAGAGCAGAGATAAGACTAATCACATCACTGTGCATTATTTATGGCATGGCAGGCAACATGCCACGGATTTCGTCACTAAATCTAAGCAACTAATTATATATGTACATTTCATAAAGCTCGCCCATGGGGTCAGAGCGTGCCTAAAAAGTTCAAGTGGAATAATCAAAAGTTCACAGCCCATTTGCACCTATTCTGAGATAATGCATCAGCCTATACTTTAATCTTAAACTGTTATCGAATAGACTCATCTGTATATACATATTTAATTTAATTTTAGTGATTGATAATGTTAACTATTTAGTGCTCTTTCAATTTTCTAGTTTCTAAGTTTGTATAAAAAATTATGCGAATTAAAAAGTATGTATGGATTGAGAGACTGAAAGACTTCACAACTCAAACTGCGTAAACTCTTTGTCCAAAAATATAACTTAGGCCGACTTCCTGCCTATGAGGTGAAGCTTATAGAGATTTAGGTATAGTCGTCAACGCTGACGATTTCAAGACATAGATGCTGACAATTCGATGATGATTAATGGCTGTGGTGGTTTTGTGGAAGGGAATGTTAATTCGGAGTGTTGAGTTAATGATATGAGGTAGCTCGGAATGGTGAGGCCTGCGCTGAGAAGCTTAGATCATTGCTAGACAACTTTATAACTATAATAGTGCTAGTTGTTATAGGATTTCTAAAATCTTCTGACATTGGTTTTGGGAAACTACAATACAACATGCAATTGGGTTCTATAAATTTAACAAATGATTTGGAAACAACAAGCAAGTCACTATAAAATATTGAACAACAATTTGTCATAAAAAGTGTAGATACTTCGTATAGTAGTGTAGTAAACGTTTTCACAGTACACTGTCAAATACAAAGAGAATAATTTCCGAATTACTCCTTTGTTTATTTAAAATTTATCGTCACACCAAAATCTGGAGCAGTATTCTACAATAAAGCTGATAAGCGATGTAAATAATGAATTGGTAGTATAAAGTTATATGAAGCGATTTGGAAGGCTTGTTTATGACGAAAAAATAAGGCGAGATCACCTATAATAGAGATATCGTCAATTGTTAATTAGCAGAGTTGTAGAAAACATGGCTACTTTTTTAATTGCAGATTTATACGGCAAGAAAAGCAAATAATTTTTTTTAATTGGTGTTATAAAGTTAAAAATGTGATTTGAAAGGCTTCTTTACGACGAAAAAATAATCACCTATAATAGAGATATTATTTTTTAAATTCAGATTTATTCGATAAAACGAACGCTGCTAATAAAATACATTAATAGTCTTTCATAAATGTAGGGATCTTTAGTGAGTTCCCTACGAGTGAGTAAAAATCTGCTCCAGAAACTCCGTCAATAATAAGTACACCACACGTCGTCGTTTTAATCAATTGAGTACAATATTTATTCATGTGCAAATTAAATCAAATTAAATTAAAGTTTATTCATAACTTGTTCACAACGTCTGCTCGCTTCCGAAGTCAAACTCTTACTCCTAAAACGATATACTTTCTTAGACTACCCTGGACTGACCACCCCGATAGTCCGATGATTATCTGCTGGTTCAAGAGCTGCCAACCCTACATTCGGCCGTCCTGATTCATTATTCGACCCGAATGATGGAGACCACATTTTCATATACTCTGCCAGCGTATTGGTCTTTAATGGCCCTTCACCATCGCCCACTTTCTCAACAATGTACCGGCCATGTCTTAGTTTACGCGTCACAACATAAGGACCCAAGAATTTTCCCTTCAGCTTCAATCCGGCGCCAAATTGGGTACGCTTGATAGCGACCATATCATTGACTTGGTACTCTTTTTCTGGCTTTCGGGACTTGTTGAATAACTTGCGATTTTCATCTTGTATTTGTGCTATGTTCTCTTTAGCTGTCTTGCGAATATCTTCTTTCTCCTGCTGCAACTCCAAAATATACTCTTCCTCTACAAGCTTTTCTATATCACTGTCATACTTGGTTCTCATTTGTATGCCTGTCAGAATCTTAAATGGAGATATCTTAGTACTTCTCGGAGGGGTGGAATTTATAAACGATTGTACCCTACCTACATGCTTGTACCAGGCTTTCGGATCCTCTGCGCAAAGTTTGGTTAACATAGTAGTGACCACCCTATTAATTCGCTCCACCTGTCCATTACCACGCGGCACTCCTGTCGCTATCAGCAAATGTTGGATACTCTGTTCCTTACAATATTCCTCAAACACGTGTGCAGTAAATGCGGTACCTCTATCGGTGATCACGCGCTTTGGGTTTCCAAATACTTCGCCCTGTTTCTGCAACTTGTCAACCACCTCATCGGCGCCTGTACTCTTTGTTGGATAAAGCCAAACAAATTTAGAAAAAGCGTCGACAACTACTAAAACGTGGTTATATTGTTTCCTAGTCAACTCCATCGGTCCGATATGGTCGATATGATATGTTTGCAAAGGCTCATCAGATTTGTCGATTACATTCAAAAACCCTTCTTTCTTTCCAAATTTCGCGTCACTCACAATGCACTCTACACAAGACTTAACAATCCTATCTACTTTCCCTAACAACTCTGGAATAAAGTATTCTCGCTGCACTAAATCGGTAGTTCTTTTAACACCAAAATGCCCTTGACGATGAGCTGTCATTATGATTTCGTTTTCCATCCTGGTTGGTATTACAATCAATTCCTTAACTGGGTCCTTGTGCAAGATTTCATACTTCAAATAAAAGTCGTCGTAAGTACCGGACTCTAACACTTTACAAATTGCTGCTATCCACTCATCCTGACGCTGAGCTTGCTTTATTCGGTGTCTTAGTGAATCTGCCAACAATAAACAATGCACTCTACTCAATGCATCGACGTGTTTCATTTTTGTCCCTGAACGATGCTCAATTTCATAATCGAAGTCCTGCAGAAATATGGCCCAACGAGATACCTTCACTGGAACATCTTGCTTCTTCATCGTTAACGCAAAAGCATTACAGTCAGTAACGATCTTTATCTTTCTACCAAGCAAATAAACTCTCCACTTCTTAAGAGCCTGCACTATAGCGAGTACTTCAAGCTCGTATGAAGGATACTTTTCTTCAGCTGGGGTTGTCTTACGACTCATATATTCTACCGGGTGGAGACTTTGGTCCTCCGAGTCCTTTTGTAAGAGTATGGCACCATACCCATACATACTTGCATCGCAATGAACTTCTGTATAGCCCTTCTGATCAAACAGTTTTAAAACAGGGGAACAGGATAAATAAACTTTTAACTGATTGAATGCTGCTAACTCTTCCTCGCCCATTTTGAAACAAACATCCTTCTTCATCAGATTTGTCAGTGGTCTGGCAACGACAGCAAAATCCTTAACAAATCTACGGAAATAAGATGTGAGGCCCAAATAACGTTGAACTTGTTTCCGGTCTCTCGGAATTGGAAAGCTTTCAACTGCCGAAGTCTTCTCTTTAGATGGTCTTATTGTTGAATTTTCTATTATGTAGCCCAAAAAATTCACCTTGCGCTGTAACACCTGAGATTTTCCCCATTTAATGCGCAATCCTGAAATCTCTGCGAGGCACAATACCTTCTCTAACTTTCTGAGTCCTTCTTGCTCATCTTTTGATGGAATAATGATATCGTCCATATATAGGATCAATGTACCGTCGTCTATCAATGGTCTTAGAACAGCAAATATATACCTCATAAAGACCGGGGGTGAATTAGAAATCCCGAATGGTACGTAATTAAATTCATATTGTCCACTTTGTGTGACGAAAGAAGTATATTTACGAGAATCCTCATGTACCGGGACATGAAAGAAACCATTAGACAAGTCCAATGTAGTGAAAATACGTCCTTCTTGAAGTTTGAGCAAAACATCATCAATTAACACCATTGGAAAATTGTCGCGAATTATCTTCTCATTAAGTTTTCTATAATCGCAGCAAAGTCTTTTTGAGCCATCCTTCTTGGCGACAAGCACCACAGGGGAAGCGTATTCGGACACACTATGTCGAATTATCCCCTCCTTTAACCAATCCCTGATCTGCCTATCGACTTTCTCATTGTCCACGAAAGGTAAACGTCTAGGTCTTTGACGGACTGGTACTTCATCTGACAATATTATTTTCATTTCGACAGGGCTTCTTTCTGGTTTTACTGGGCTATAATTTTCTACCAATCTCCCTATTTTTGACTTCATATCACGGTTCAAATGCGACAGCTCTATTCCTCGTGAAAACTCTTCGATAACATTGGTAGACAGTATTTGACGGAACGCATTTTCCAAATCATTTATTGAACTCGCTGATTCTGAAGGCCTGGTCCCTTGAGTATCACTATGTTGAGTGAACTCTAAGTCACGGCTTCCCTTTGCCAAACTACTGCTAATTGCTTTTTCCGATGAACTGATTCCTTCCATAACCTGGCACCCTTCACTTGTCGAATGAAAGAACACTCCTTTTTTTCCTATGCTCGCACTGACAAAATCGAGAACATCACTTCCGATCACACCTTCGTACAGCGTATCATCGTCACGGACTATGTGAAAACACATTTCCAAAGGAGCATCGTCCAACTTAGTGACCACATTAAACGAACCCAATGTATAGATTTTCTTGCCTCCTATTCCGATCAATTCTTTTACATCATTTTTCAATGCAACTGGGAAAATCTTTCTGTAAACTTTCTCGCTCATCGTACAAATATCGCTGCCAGAATCAAACAATGCAGTGATCTCTATATTACCGATGGCAACATTTTTAAAAGCCCGATTGAAACTGGTCTGAGAAAATTGCTGGACATTCGACATTTTCTTCTCCCTTTCCATTCTTGGACCTTTTGCTTCGCATTGATTTGCCTTGTGGCCTAGCTGATTGCAATTGAAACACTTGACGGCATTTTCTTTGCAATCCTTTGCAATATGGTTGTTACCTCCACATTTGAAACAACGCCTATTGTCCTTGATTTGAATCGAACTATTCTCAAATTTTGATTTTGTCTTTAGTGTACTTCCTTGATTCGAACTGATCTTTTCATAAATTTTAAGTTGCTCACGAAACTCCTTGAAATTGTTTGCTTGGTATAAGCAGCTCTTGTTTTGCTTGGTATCTTGAATGCCTTCAATAATATATTCAATAATGCTTTCTTCATCTAACTGGGATTGACTTGCCAAAGTACACATACTATAGAAATATTCAATTAAGCTTTCCTTATGACTCTTCTTCCTATTTTCCAATAACTTATGGAGCTGCTTTGCTGTTAACTTTTCACTAAATTCACGTTTTAGTGCTTCCTTCAGAGAATTCCAATCATTAATACCGGATTGACTACTCAAAAATAATTTCGCTGCACCTTTTACTAATGTCCTGCCATAAACAAACTTTTGTAAATCATTCCAATTCACTGTTAAAGCATTAA